CTGTTATTTGTAAATGCTACTGCTTATGTTAGCTTTTCATATACAGTTTTATTCTGATTAAAGCTTTAATACAGTACAGCAACCGCATGTTTAACGCTTCTCGTAGCTATGTGAAAATAAGTATAAATGGAACAGCTGAGCTGATGATCTGAATATGAGAGAGATGCAGAGCAGGGGAACGTGAGGAACAGTATTAAGAACCGCTGCTTTAGAACATTTATTTTGAAACTTGTGAGTCAATCCATTAGAATCGTTAGAAGACAGAATCGCGATTCTTATATGAATAGATTTTTACGTGCACCTCTAGTTTTCTCTTCCTCTTCTCTAAAGCAGCGCAGCATGGCCTCGCCCCCTTTGCTGCCTTTTCCCGAGGGCGGGGTTTATCTGGGTTTGTGACATCACGAACCCGGGAAGTAACTAGTTGTAGTCCCTACCAGCCGTTTTTGTAGGCATTAAACTGCCAGAATTTTAAAAGACTATATCTCCGTTTGCATTGAACTTTCAGCGTTGTAACTTTTTAGATATTGTTTATGCTCAAACAGCAACATTACACACTAACTAAAGTTAAAAAAGTGAAATCGCAATGAACCACCCCTTTAAATGTGCATGTACAAAAGCTGACTTTCAAAAAAATAAACCTATCGAGAGAAATATTTACTGGAGTAAAGAAACGTAACGATTTTCCCAGGCCTGACGTCATATTAAAATATTTGCATTCATCTTAATTATTTTGGCAAGTCTAACTCGCCATACTTACCATTCACTAGCAACCGGTTTCTACTTACACTCCACTGGGATTCCTGCTAGTTGGTGTATCAGCGAATACTTCTAACTCTCTCACCAACGATGGCTAAAGGATATAAAATGAAAAGTTATAGCAGATCTACACCAGAACCAACGTTTAGTAAAGTGTTGGGAGAGTCCTCCACGTCCAGTTTGGTGTCAGAGTCCATCGCAGAGCCTGACGATGTGCAAGACTCATCGAGTTCCGCATCTGCCGTATCTCTACCCACCAATGACCATCAGACGAACCATGAGCATGATCAGTGCCGTAAAGTTCCCATTCTTCATCATATAATCGTGGAAACGTTAGAAATGCTTTGTTGCAAAAATGATAACACCCAGATTTGTTGACTGATAGTGTTTATTAATCTTTTTTCCTCAGATACGAGGGTGATAAGAGTGGAGACGTGTTTCATGGAGAAAGTGTCGCTTATTTTCAAGGTGGCCACATTTACAAGGTGACTAATGAACGACAGGACTAAACTGGGACACCAGTATAAAATCTGAATCGAATTAAAATTTATAATAGCTTTTATTGACTTAAATTACTACATTATATATTGCTCAACAGACCTTAGTTAGAAAATTAAAAATGTGTAAATAGAAATGTTGTGAAAATGTTGTATAATTTTATACATTCTCTATTAAGCCCATGGTTTTTCTAACATTTTTAATAGAAAAAATTCAGGTAAATTCGAATTTATTTGTATAGCACTTCGTTATAAAGATAAACAATGAATAACAACTGTTTAACATGTATGTAAGTTACCTTGTAAGGGTAGAAAGAACATGAAACAAAACTTTTCCTCACAAAACTAAATAATTTTTGTTTTTTTTTGTATTTCATTCTTGCTGATGTCCAACTACAGACCCTGCTTGAAATAAGTATTTTATTAATTGATTACAAACGTTGTGCAATCTTTAGGGTAGTTTTTCTCACGGGTTAATGCACGGCCCTGTTGAATATATCTGGTCAGACGGTTTAAAGTATCAGGTATATAAAACGTTAATGGAGGTCACTAAGTTGTGCGATGTAAATCTTCATGTACATTTTTAAACATGTCACGAAAGTGTTTTAATTACATGTTTTTTTTATTTACACATATTTTCTGAGGTTTCGGCAATAATTACAAAATTTCCCTAACTGTTGGCATTCGGCAGGGTGATTTCAAATTAAATGTTCCCATGGGGCGTGGGACTTACACCTGGCCAGATGGCAGCACTTACGAGGGAGAGGTACACAAAGGTGTCCGTCATGGTGTCGGGATGTATAAATGTGCCAAAACCTCCAATGTGTACAGAGGTCAATGGTATCTGGGCAAAAGACAAGGGCAGGTATGTACGTACACACATTAATTGTCTGGACTTCACTCGCAAGCATTGAATAATAAATATCTTTACTGGTGTCCTGTGATGGTTACAGGGGGTAATGTACTATAACCAAGCAGCCACATCCTGGTATAAGGGAGAATGTATATAATATTAATGCACATTTCTTTAAAAATATATTTTTTCTTTCAAAAAATATTTCAAAATTTAAATAAATATGTAGTCTATTCTTAAGTTTATTATTGAGCTCTGCTGAATTTGTCCTTACAAATTACAATTTTTGTTTCACTAAAGTTACCCATCTGGAAATTTATATGAGGGACAATGGAAGAACAATGTTCGACATGGAGAAGGAACAATGAGATGGGCTCAGTTGAATCGGCAATATTGTGGGCAGTGGGTAAATGGCATCCAGGTCTGTCATTTACTAATTTTGCCCTTATTTTTAGGGTCATTCCCTGTATTATGTCTGATTTTATATAATTTTGTGCTGAAATTCGAGCATAAGTTTCTTATTTAATGTAGGATGGAAAAGGGACGCACATGTGGTTCTGTTAAAGAGCTCCGTGCTCTCAGTACCCTCGTATGAACGAGTACACAGGAGAATTCATTCAGGGCATGCGTCATGGTCAAGGACAGTTTTTATATGCCAGTGGGGCTGTGTATTTTGGAAAGTGGAAGCATGACAAAAAACATGGACAGGTAAACCACCTTTCAAATTGTGAAGATTTGAGATGGCCGTGTGATTCCAACACTGCAGATGGTCTTTTGCAGGGGATGTACACTTTTGAAAATGGACGGGTATATGAAGGGGAGTTTATTCACTCCTGGCCTGAGTGGGATTACGACTCCTTTTCCAGACGAGAGTATGTATTAGCTCTCTGGAATACTTGATTCTGATTGGTCAAACAATGGCTGCTAAACCGTAGTCCCCCCTAACCAATTTCCTACATAGCTAAATTGAAATCTGTAATTACAAAAAAAACTTCTGTATATTTATTTACTATAAATATGTATTGAATTAAACTCAAATGAATCATTAAGGTCCATTTATTCATTTATTTTGTTAGTACATAATGTACAGTTGGTCATTCTTACAAAAAACTCATCAGGATCAGGGTTTAGTTTCCAAAAATGTAGTGTATTATTTGGTGTACTATCCCCTACTAAGGTTTTTTTTTTTTAAAGGGGTCATATGATGCTGCTAAAAAGAACATTGTTTTGTGTATTTGGTGTAATGAAATGTGTTTCTGCGGTTTAAGGTTCAAAAACACATTATTTTCCACATACTGTACATTATTGTTTGTCCTCTATGCCCCACCTTTCTGAAACACGTCGATTTTTACAAAGCTCATCGGTCTGAAAAAGCGAGGTGTGCTCTGATTGGCCAGCTTTGTGATTGGCCGAATTCCTCAAGCGTGTGACGGAAATGTAACGTCCCTTACCATATTGTGATGCCTGCGGCAACCACATGTGACGACCCCGGGCTGGACTCCACTTTGTCCACGGTGAAAGCCGATCCGGCAATCCACAGTGCGAAGTTGAAGTATTTCCTCAGCGACCAGCATGGATCAGCTCCAGGCATGACGAAGCGATATCGTCCTCTTTTGGAAGGCCAAACAAAGTAGTTTCGCTTTCACAACGAAACACACAGCGCCTTCACGACATGGCGGCGGCAGCAACAATACTACAGCGAGAATAAAAGTTACGCCTTCTTTCTTTGCATGAACATTTGGGCGGCGTTATGCAAATCTTCCCACATCGTGACGTAGACATGTGGGGGCGTGTTAGAACGAGCCGTTTTAGGTAGGTGTGGCTGACTCTTAACTTTTATAAAGAATATCTCTCTGGATTTGAGACTTTAGTCTTTGCAACTTTACAGATCTTCTTTATGCACCAAGAGCTTGTAACACTCCAAAGAGAAAGGAAAAATTGAAATCGCATCATATGACCCCTTTAATGGTCTTCTTTAATCTAACAGTGTTTATCTTTGTAC